AAATGGATTTGTAAGAATGAACGAGACAACGCTGTGTTAGCAGCGTTTATTTAACACCTTCACGACAGACACGTCATTTCTCACTAATCATTCTAGTGGAGAACGTAAAGAGTGTTTATCTTTTCTAGCACGCTGTTAAAAGTGATGTGTGACATCATATGTTTTGGTTTTGCTTTACTTACTTTTTATTTGATGTTGCAAAGGCAGCTGATTAAATGTAAGGCTTAGGGCAGGAGTTTGTCGTCATGGTGATATCTGAAGAACAAAAGTATAACTTGATTAATGTTTACACCCTTTATGCCACATGTTCGATAACACAACTAAACATGAGTTGTTGTTTTTATAAATTTAACTGAATTGTATTTATTTTTCTGTTGTTTGCTTCCTTCTTCAATGGTTGCCATCATGTGCAAACTTTGCACAAACAATTTGGCAATTGTTTTCCACCAGACGTCCTTACTGATGGAATCTGGTCTCAGGCCTGCAGCAGGATTGTGAGACCGTGACGCTGACCACTGAGCACCACAGCACCCCCCCCCCCCATCTGAAACAAAGGAAAATACCATTTTGCTGTTCTGCACTATTGTCTGCAAGCGTTAGGATTACAAGTCCCCAAACAAGAATTCATCTCGCCTGCACCCGTCTTCAGATAACATGGATTTCCTTTGTCTTCCACCTTGTCTTTAAATAACAGAATGACAGAGATAAAACTGGCTTTGTGCTGCAGGCTCAGGAATAATAATAATAATTTTATGCTCCTGATGGCTAATTACAATGACCTTGTCAACCCTGGAAGGAGAGGTTTATCCGGTCGTTTCTTTCTGTGTTTAAAATGAATTTCTGGGATTGAATATTTGCCAGTTTTTGTGAATAACACTCAGATGTGACAGAAGCTTACTGGCTTTTCTAAAGTCCTCACTGTTGCCAGAAGTTACTGCTAGTGATGGACTTCCCCTCCTAATTAAAATATTCTAAATATCTTGGTAATAAAGCAAACAACAATTACTAAGATCTCTTCATTTATTATGTATTTTAGACTGAAAGCTTTAAACGCTGCTCAGAAGATAGATGATGCTTCCCTCCACATGTGGAATGAACTAATATATCATAAAGATGTTTGCTCGACGACTATTTGCAGTGAAGTCATGAGGATATTGAGTCTCTAAGCGTGAGCTTAGAACGTTTTAATCCTGCACAAAGTCAGCAAGCAAACCGGCAGGAAGGACAGCAAAGAAGACAACGTTAGAATGACATACGTGTTCGCGTCTCGCTTCACTTCTGTTATTTTATATCACGTGTCGACACTGCTGCCTCTTCAAAAATAAATGTTGATCACATAAAGGTTTGGCTACAAAACAGAACAAAACACATTTTGAAGAAGTTCTCAATGAGCTAAAATGATGCATTGCTTTATTAGGATCATTGTATGTAGTTTATTTGTATTATTGTTCCTTCCATTATGTTTAGTTTCCATCATGGACAGTACGAAACAACTAGCATCATGTAAAACTATCGCAGTTGACAACAGGCAGCTAATTTTATTCCATAATCCCTAGAAACATATGAAAGATTGGAAAATCTGAATGAAACCTGACTCTTGACTGCAGATGAATTCAGCACAACAAAATGCTTCCCCTGCTTCCCAAAACTGCTGCTACTCTTATTTTGGGAAATTGTTGTTGTGCATGACCACAGAGCGAGTTCAGTTTATGAATCTAATTTGTGAATTTAAAAAAAAGTTTCTGATGAAATAATATTCTCCAAAATTTAATTCAGCAACAACTACATTTTGTTGTGACCAAGTATAAATGAACTAACTTTTTTAATGATACAAACAATATTTTAGAAGAGCAGCCACTTATTTTGATCAGCGTTCGATGAAACACACGGAGAGAAAAGACCAGTTAGTTTATATGATCGTAAAAAAGCTGCATTCTATGGATGGATGGATGGATGGATGGATGGATGGATGGATGGATGGATGGATGTGTCCAGAGAAAATCTGCAAGTGACTAATGTTTAAACAGTTGTGGACCAGACTAACTTTGTCAGATTTTTCTACCTGAATTATTGAGCAGCATCAGGATTTATTGCATCATAGTTGGTTATTTTATTTATATACTTGTCAAACCATCCATCCATCCATCCATCCATCCATCCATCATTTTTACCCACTTCTTCCTTTTCTGGTCTTGAGGGTCACTGTTCCCCATATCCAGCCATCAAATGCAACTTTATTTATAAAGCACGTTTAAAAAAAAACATGCGGGACCAATGTGCTGAACGCAAGTTAAAAAGCACAAATGAAATAAAAAATATATTTAAAAAAAAGATTAAAAAGACGCAATAACAAAATAAAAAAACAACTTTTGACCATGAAACTTTCAGAAACTCAAGATGCATGTGAATGCTTGTATGGAACACGTTTCAGATTTCCGTGTCTCTCTGATGGACACGTTTGATGAGTCTGCGTTTTTGATGCTTTGATGAAAAAAGTCACTGGGGTTTGAAATGAGCCTGGCAAGTTTCAATTAAAGTAAATAATAAAAATGAAAAAATGCCTCTATTTGGGGCGAAGAACTTTACAGTTTGAAATATTAGGACATTTTGAGTTTTAAAACAAAAGTAACAACCTCACATCCTTTTACCGTAGAGTTTGAATTCTTTGCTGATAAAGTCGGCCTCAGTGATGGTTTGTGTTAAAAAGTAACTACTGCAATGAAATTACTTTTCTTTTCATTTATTGTTGTTTTACTGGAGAGAAACTGATGGAGCAAATGTTAGCTGGTTTAATAATGTAAAAATGTGCCATGGCACTATCATATTACTAGAATGAGCCAAGTGGACACAAATACAAAACATTAGTGATTATATATATATATATATATATATATATATATCTGCTCCATACTGTTGTAAGTTGTTTTTTTTTATTATTTAAATAAATGTATATATTTAACAGCTTCAGAGAATTTTGATCAACAGATGCTTGGCTCACTTGGTCAACTTTAAAATTATTATCCGCTGCTAAAATCAACTCAGTTCTTCAACATTTTTCAGTCAGGTCATCTGGACAGTTTCTTTTTTTTGTGCTGAAACGTTTCATCTTCGATCCAGAAGGCTTCATCAGTCAAGGAAACACAACAGAACTGATTCTTCCCCCAACAGCTTACTCCAAAGTGGAACAGACCAGTTATGTTGGTGCTAAGATGGTGTCTTTGGCACACCCCCTCCTCCATTGCCGGCCCTCTTCCGTGTTGACAGTCGTGTCAAACTGGTTGAAAACAAGTTTCCAACAGTAAGTTGTAAAACTTACTGTTTTACTTACTTTACTTAATCAGTTTTGTTGTGCGTTTCCTTGACTGATGAAGCCTTCTGGATCGAAGACGAAACGTTTCAGCACAAAAAAATTAATTTTCCAGTTGACCTGACTGAAAAATGTTGGATTGCATACCTGGATTATTGAGCATGGACTTTGTTCAACTCAGTTCTTATTAAAAAGATGCAGAGAGAAAACGTCGGCGATATTACACATCGACAAAATCACGAGCCCAGACTTTAAAACAAATTTCCTGTTAAATAAAATGTATTTTCAAGTAACAAAACTAAATCTTTATCACCTTTGCCCTCCGGTTTTTGTCCATCTTGACCTAAAAGCGATTTCAAACGCTTGAGAAGTGACAGAATGCCTTCAGTATTTAAAGGAAGCTAAGCAAAAACTAATGCATCAAACCTTCAGGAGCTCCAGCTCTGTCAGCAAATTAGATGAGTCACACTGAAAGACAAACACGTTAGAATCAATGAGTCTGATTGACTTCCGTTTGATCGATACGCGTTTACAAACGACCTGCCGATCTGCTGACACGAGAGCAACAGGAATGTAGTAAAATGTACTAGTCTTTACTCTGAGTCCACAGTACTTATTTTTACTGTTTATCTGAGGCCAGTAAAGTTATTGTTTCGTGACGTTGAGCATCACTCATGCAGTTGAAGTGATTTAACATGAGAATGAGACAAATCTACAAAAACTCAATCATCATAAAAAAAGGTGGATTGTTCTCTTCAGGTGCAGGGTGAGGTTCTGCTCAAGTGGAGGAGTTCAGGTCTCTCAGGGTTTTGTTCATGACCGAGGGAAGAATGGAGATGACAGATGGATTGGTGCAGTGTATGCAGTGTTGTGGACTCTGTGCCGGTCCACTGTGGTGAAGCGGTAGCTGAGCTGTAAGGCAGAGCTCTCTGTTTACTGGTCGGTCTACGTTCCTCCCCTCACCTCTGGTCATGAACTCTGGTAGAGACTGAAAGAATGAGATCGTGGATCCAGGAGGTTGAAATGAGTTTCCTCTGCAGGGTAGCTGGACTCTCCCTTAGAGACAGGGTGAGAAGTTCAGTTATCAGGAGAGACTCAGAGTAGAACCACTGCTCCTCCACATCCAGAGGAGCCAGTTGACGTGGTTCAGACAAATGGTGAGAATGCTTCCTGGGCACCTCCCTAAGGAGGTGCTTTGGGCACGTCTGACTGGGAGGAGACCCCGGGGAAGACCCAGGACACACTGGAGAGACTATAGAGCTGGAAGAGGTGGCTGTGGAAAGAGATGTCTGGACCTCCCTGCTCAAGAGGCTGTCCCCAAGACCTGACTTCAGAACAAGAGGATGATGTTGGATGGATGGTTGGATGAATGGATGGATGGACAGACAATCAAAAAGATTGTTTGGATTCATTAAAAGCATATTCAAAGTTAAACAGCCACCTTGACCTCCTTTCTATCATTACCATTGAAATATAAATGGATCATGGAGTCAGGAAAGCATCAACCAGTGGAAAGATTTACATCAGTCAACTGGTGAAAAAACATCCAACAATAAACGTGCTTGACTCTAATGTGTATTTTTATTTTGTATCTCTCTAAACAGGCTTTTTCAGGCTTTACAACTTGGTTCCAAATAGAAATGACACAATCCAAAATAAAGTGACGTAAACTCAAAGCTTCTATGTTCTCCAGTCTGTTCACAGTTCTCCAGAGGAGTCTACGCCATCTTTGGATTCTACGACAAGAAGTCTGTTAACACCATCACATCATTCTGTGGAACGCTGCACGTCTCCTTCATAACGCCCAGCTTCCCTCTGGACGGGAATCAGCAGTTCATTATCCAGATGCGACCCGATATCAAGGGGCCTCTCCTCAGCCTCATCGAGTACTACAAGTGGGACAAATTTGCCTATTTGTACGACAGCGATCGAGGTAAGTCACAATCATTTATAAAAAGAACTGTGTCCAAGTCTTGTCTTGCAGTTATAAGTGATGGCAGTATTAGTGTCCTCAGTAAATAATAAAATTAATCAGTTTAACAAAGTACAGGTAGGGCAGCAGAAAGGGCACGTTGGATCATGACCAGCAGCTTGTCGCACTCGATCAGCTGCAGCAGTTATGTGCTCGAGTCTTTTTGTAACGTGAACAGGAGGGAGGTGTTCAGAGTCACATTAGAGGAGTGGACCCAAACTGACCTGCAGCTGTTCGCTCCAGACAGGCGTCATGTCTTCACATCGTCCGTATAATAAGAACGTTCTCATGCAGGATGAGTGCTGCACTGTGTTATCGACTACATGCAACGTTGCTGATGTCTTTAGTTCTTGTTGGAAATCATGGGATGCAAGCCAGTCAGGCATTTACATTTTATCTTTGAATGATTTAATTCAAATTCATTTTATCAGACTTTTTTTTTTAAACCATCTGTAGCATGAAGATGTGCTCCCCTAACTTTGACCCCTGACCCTTGGGTTGTCCTCCAGACTCACCATGAACTGTGTTCTTTAAAGTTACTTTTGACTTGAATGTTTTCACACATTCACTGTCGTTGGGTCTGGTTGTGTCATTTTTAGCTGATGCAGCTTGATCAATCATTTTGTGGCTTGCAGTGATAATAAATTAATTGATCTGGTCACATTAAATAACTTCTCTCAAGCAAAATCCAAAGCAAACTATTTATTAAATATAATATTATAAGACAGAGCTGAATACAGCACCTCAGACTGAAGAAGTCTTTTGGATGAAAGACAGAATGGTTCTTTATATATTTTTTGTTTAGTTTTGTTTTTTGAATGTCCAGAGGACCAGACTTCACGTTTTTAGATTTTTCTACCTGGATTATTGAGCATCAGGATACTTATCAAAAAGTCAAACTCTGTCTAAATATGTTTGAGCAGGAATTATTTTGTTTTTTATACACAAAGAGTAAATTTTGCCTTAGATAAGAGAATTAAGCCTTGATTAATTGATTGATTATTAACATTGTTCATTATTGATTTATTACTTTTAAAAGCAGTTATTTTACAAATTATTATTCTTTATCACTTATGTTGTTTGTTGCCGAATCTTAGTTTCATTATTTTTGTAAGAAAACTTCAAAGACAACTTTAGTCTCTTCATTCGGATGAATATTCATTTGTTATGGTATAGAGCTCCCTGAAATTAACGGATTCTACTTCAGTGACTGAGTTCTGATTATTAAAGGGTGAATATATGAATTAAGTTGTTGGTCAATAAAGGACCAGCTTGTGCCCTGCTTAATAAGTAAACAAGTGTAGTGAAGTGAGGAGCAAATGACACCTTCCTCCATCACTTTCAACCTTTATTTCAACAGATAAAGTCACATTGAGCCTCAGAGACTCATTTATAAGGGAGACCTGTTTGGACAAACAACAAAGTGGTGAAAGTGACAACACAGGTTTTGGAGGCAAAAAGAATCCGAACATGCTCGTAATCTTTGGCTGAAGATTAATAACATGAAAATGAAAATATCCTCACACACAAGCACATAATGATGCTGACATTCTGCGGTGGGTGGGGGGCAAGGGCGGTGAGCATGTTCAGAGACAACACAGAGAGGCACTACAAGAGATAGTGGTAAATTGCTCAGTTCACATAGTTCCCTCTGGGGGGATCCGTACACTATCAGGTGGGTGCTGAGGACGGTCAAGGACAGTGTCAGAGAATCCAAAGAGTCCTGAAATGATGACAGAATGTTTATTCAGCCAGGCCCCTCTGATTGGTTCGTAGACTTCTTCGGTAGTGGTGGTGGTGGTGGGGGGGGGGCATCAAGGTTTACAGATCTTCCAGGTGAATTAAGATAAGGTAGCCTGTCAAGGCCAGTCAGGGAGACAAATTCAGATAAACACGATTGTTTTGGGGACAGGCAGAATTTCACTGATTATGTCTATGTTGAGTCTGTGTCAGTCCTCTCGGTTCCGACACATCCAAATTAATTGGCCACACCACTGGACCTTATTCCACGAGGTCTGATCTATCCTGCCAAAAGCATTCGAGTCTGGGTGCTCGAGGCACAAACCCAGCCATCACATAAGACAGGCAGCCTGACCAGGGCCAAATTTGCTGCCAACGACTTCATTCTTTGCTGATAGACCAGGAACCAGCCAAATACAAAAAGCAAGAAACCAGTTATCATAAATCCAAATTATGTATGCGTCCTGAACATCCATGATTGACCACAGGGATAGACACATCAAGTCTTTCAAGTCGAGGAAATATCCAGCTGCGTGCATGCCAACAGGGAAAATCAGTTCGCCTAAAGCCTGTCTTCGTCTACAAGAAATGTTATAAATTGCAATGAGGGACCAACTGACCAAATCCATAGCAGAATTATGATTCGGAAGAGGAGGGGAAAGGCATCCGCCCTTGACAAGAGCAAGTGTTGAACAAACTTATGCACTTCATAAATGCTACACATACTTTTCAACCCCATCACAGCCCATACAGATAATAAAGCAAAAATACTGAACTTAAATAACTGGCCACTCGTAGAATTTCCAGTATGATTATTGTAGTATCTTGCTTTTTTTTTTAAAGTCCTGAAAAATTCTGTCTGCTAAATGGGTTGATAAAAAAGAAGTTAATAAAAATGTGTATTTTGAAAATCTAAATTATTTCAAGTATTTTTTAACTCATGTTGAGGCAGGAGCTCACATAAGACTCCACGTCCTTGAGGGAAAAATAATGGACCGATGCTCAGGATCCGTTTGATAGACTCACGTCAACATCAGTGAAACAAAACCTAATTTCCTCCCAAAGCACGTTTGTACTCTGAATAATTGATGTAAAAATCTGTGCTCAGTATGCGCCTAATGACACATGCTCAGTGACTCTAGACTGTTTCATCTTCAGTAGGAAATGTAGCGGCTGTTTTATCCAACGTGTTTTAAATGTAACTCGAGAAGACTGACTTTGAACTACACACCGTTTGATTGTAACATCCACTAGTTTGCGTCCATTTAGAAGGATGAACGCTGCACGCTCACAAGCTGCACAGTGGTTACAGAAGTGCTTTGCACTTTTACTTCTTGGAAAAATTGAATGTCAGCTGTTCATGGATTTTTGTGACGTTTGGTGTTTCTGTGGGTCAACTCTGGGTGCTTTGGCGTCTCCCTATGGTCTAAGATGTGCAAATTAGCTAAAGTCAGCCAAAAAGAAAAAGAGAACCCACAGTTTATTTGAAGAAACTCATCAACCTTCAAAGAGTAGATCAGTTGACGCAGGAGTTGTGTAGAAAATGTATTTTATGTTCAAACTAAAATAACATTTAACCTGAATGCTTCATGTCTCATCGTTTTGTCAACTAACTGAAAAAGATTTTTTATGTCAGTTATGAATTGTTAAACAGATGAAGTGTGACATCAGCGCCATATCACACAACAGATCGCTTCAAAGACATTTTGTAAGAGAAATGGGTGAGTGAAGACAGCTGGTGGGTCACAATAGATTGGTGATTATTGCTGCAGCCTTGTTACCGTGAGGCTGCAGATTCAATCCCAGTTTGCATCCCAAAATGAGGAAAAGGCAAGAAAGCAGCAGAAAACAAACACAAATTGACAGAGAAGACAGTTAAAGACGACTGACAAACATCCATCCATTGTCTTACGCTTATTCCGAAGTTGGGTATCAGGGGCAGCAGCTTGAGCAGGGAGGTCCAGCCATCTCTTTCCACAGCCACCTCTTCCAGCTCTTCTGGGAGAACCTCAAGGTGTTCTCAGGGCCACCAAGAGACATAGTCTCTCCAGCATGTCCTGGGATTTCCCCGGGGTCTCCTCCCTGTCGGACATGGCCAAAGCACCTCCCTAGGGAGGAGTTCATGACTAGAGGTGAGGGTAGGCACGTAGACTGACTGGTAAACAGAGAGCTTTGTCTTACAGCTCAGTTCCCTCTTCACCACAGTGGACCAGTACAGTGTCCATAATACTGCAGACGCTGCATCAATCCATCTGTCAATCTCACGCTCCATTCCTCCTTCACTCGTGAACAAAACCCAGAGATACTTGAACTCCTCCACTTGAGGCAGAACATCACCCCTTACCTGAAGAGAACAGTCCACCCTTTTCTAACTGAGTACCATGGCCTCAGATTTGGAGGTGCAGATTCTCATCCTAGCTGCTTCACATTCAGCTGTGAATCGCTCCAGTGGGAGCTGATGAGCATGGCACGATGACACCAACAGGACCACATCATCTGCAATGAGCAGAGATGAATCCTGAGACCACCGAACCAGACTCCCTCCACCCCCTGGCTGTACCGAGAAATTCTGATCATAAAAATTATGAACAGAATTTATGACAATGGGCAGCCTTGGAGGCGTCCAACTCCCACCCTGAAGGGGTCAAACATTTTTTTTGCAATAGTTTGCCTGCAAACCAAATTTTCGCATCACTTGTATAGGGACCAAACAGCCTGCAGCAATGGGCGCCAGTTCCATACTCAGAGCACCCCACACAGTGTACCCCGAGGAACACGGTTGAAAGACTTCTCAAGTCCACAAAACACATGTAGACTGGATGGGAAAACTCCCATGGCCCCTCAAGGACCCTAGTGAGGGTAAAGAGCTGGTCCAGTGTTCCACAGCCAGGACGGAACCCACGTTGGTCCTCCTGGATCTGAGTTTCAACCAGTGATTGCTTCTCCAGTACCCCTGAATAGACCTTACCAGGGAGGCTAAGGAGAGTGATGCTGTAATTGGAGCACACCCTCCGGTCCCCCCTTCGAAGAGGGAACCACAACTCCAGTCTGCCAATCCAGTGGCACTGTCCCCGATGTCCATGCAGTGTTGCAAAGGCGTGTCAACCAAGACAGCCCGACAATATCCAGAGCCTTAAGGAAATCAGGACGACTCATCCACCACCAGAGCCAAGCCACCATGAAGCTTATCAACTACCCCGACGACCTCAGCCACGGTTATG